CCACACAACACACACACACACACATATATATAATATATATATATATGTATATATTGTTTGGTATATATATACTATTATATATATATAATATAATATATATATATATATATATATATATATATATATATATATATATATATATGAAAAGTTTTTTTTTTCAGGCGTCTATTAAATATCTTGTTTTAAACTTTTATCTATAACATGTGTGTGTATGTGTATATATAGATAGATATATATAGATTTAGATTGATAGATGTATGTATGTATATACATACATATATACACATGTATGTATATATGTATATGTATATGTATATGTGTATGTGTGTGTGTGTGTGCGCGCGCGCTTGAATTCACACGCCCACACCTACACCCACACTCGAATACATTTGATTGGACAGATAAGATAAACCCGATCAGAGGAGGAGCACAAAGTGAATTGAACCTTTGACTTCGTTATCTTAGCAAATTCTCAAGTTGTGACGAGACATTTCGTGGTCAGGGAACATCACTTCGATGTTAACGGCACATGAATTCTGGAAAAGAGTCTTTTTTAAATCAGATTTAGTAATGATTTGAATATAATGTATTATATATATATATATATATATATATATATATATATATATATATATATATATATATATATATATATATGCATATATACATACATGTGTATATATATGCATACATGATAATTTTTGTTATGACTAACGCGCTGAATACGTGAGAAATACATATATTGCTTGATGTTACAAGATACTCGTAAATATATGTGATGAAAAAAATAGATTTACATTAAAAAAGATTGTAAAAATGTTATTGTCGATATAAAGAGACAAGACAGGTTGATAATGATTGATAATTATCTGACAGATTGCCTATTTACAAAATAACTATTTACAAAATAACAGGTAGTTTAGCGGCGATAATTAATGAAACAAAAGGATGATATTCAGACATGTTGCACTTTGTCAATTCCCGCAAATCCCTTAATTGTGTCATTTTTTGGGTAAACAAATGTGCATTAAAATAAATGAATAGATAAAAAAATAAAAAAAATTAAAAAAATAATAATAATTAATGTTATTTTTCAGTACCTCGGCACTTGGTACACCATAAGCAATGTTCCCAACTCCTACATACCTGTCAAGAAATGTATGACAGACACTGTTACCATGCAAGGTAAGTAAAAATATGACATAGTAACCGATATCCATTTCTTAAACAACCCAACAACCGCATTTACATAAAGTAGGTCTATAAGATACCCGACAGATAAACCATACTTACATTTAATCAAATTAATCTCTCTTTATCAGATGTAGATATGAAAATAGTAACGAAAGGCTTTGGTGAAGACGACAGCCCGCAGAGGTCAGAGGCCGTTCTGTCAGAGGTCATGCCGTTCAGCCCGTTCGAGGACCCCTTCTTGCAACTTCGAGCCAGCCTCGGTCAGTAGATTTTTTTTTTTGGGGAGTATAATGTGTATATTATGGGTATATATATATATATATATATATAATATATATATATATATATATATATATATATATATAATATGAATATACTGAATTGATACTCTAATGTGTTGTGTAATGTGTGTGTGTGTGGTGTGTGTGTGTGTGTGTGTGTGTGTGTGTGTGTGTGTGTGTGTGTGTGTGTACATATACATGTGTGTGTGTGTATGTAGTGTTATACACACCACACGGTATTAGCTGTTGTATATAACTGAATTAGGAGGCCAATAAACGAATAAAATTGACATTGATAACTAAACTTTAAAAAAAGCACTCAATGCAGCTCGCTTCAAAGAACCACACCTAATCCTTCTAGACTCCGCGCTCACCTCGAAGGAAGCAAGACCTTGACCCTTTCTTAATCTCCCGCAGTGCCCCCTGTCCCCTACCACATCGTCGAGACGGACTACACCTCCTACTCTTGCGTGTACTCGTGCTTCGACCTCCTGAACATCCGGGCGGAACTGTTCTTCATTCTCTCGAGGACGCCGGAGATCTCGCCCGAGGCCAGACGGCGGTGCCTCGACCTCTTCGAGGAAAAGGGCGTCGACACCGGGAAGCTTCAGGAGATGCAGCAGGAGGGGTGTCCGCGAGAGGGGGAGGGGGTAGGGGAGGAGGTCGTGGAGGCTGGGGAGGTCGTCGAGGAGGAGGTCGTGGAGGTGGGGAGGTCATGGAAGGAGGTCGGAGGATGAGGCCGTGGAACGAGATGAGGGAGAGGAGATGGAGGTGCCTGAGGATGATAAGGATGATGACGGGGTTCATGGGAACGCCTTGCAGAACGCGGATGAGATTCCTGAGGGTTCCGGACGAAGGGATTCTGAAGTTCGGGAAGACGCTGACGGTTCTGCGGCAGGTGAAGGACGTGGCTTCGAGGACAATAAGGACTCTTCTGCAAATGAGGCGCTATCAGTTGACCCGAAGGCTTGCTCTGAGGAGGCCGACGGCGAAACTTCAGCCGACACGAGACACACACATTCTGA